ACTGTTAACGAACTACTTACACACACATGGTGATAATACTGCTAACGAACTACTTACACACACACACGGTGATAATACTGTTAACGAACTACTTACACACACACACGGTGATAATACTGTTAACGAACTACTTACACACACACACGGTGATAATACTGTTAACGAACTACTTACACACACACACGGTGATAATACTGTTAACGAACTACTTACACACACACACGGTGATAATACTGTTAACGAACTACTTACACACACACACGGTGATAATACTGTTAACGAACTACTTACACACACACACACACACACGGTGATAATACTGTTAACGATCTACTTACACTCACACACGGTGATAATACTGTTAACAGACTACTTACACACACACACGGTGATTATACTGTTAACGAACTACTTATACACACACACACACACACACACACACACACGGTGATTATACTGTTAACGATCTACTTACACACACACACACGCGGTGATAATACTGTTAACGATCTACTTACACACACACACGGTGATTATACTGTTAACGATCTACTTACACACACACACGGTGATAATACTGTTAACGAACTACTTACACACACATGGTGATAATACTGCTAACGAACTACTTACAAACATACACGGTGATAATACTGTTAACGAACTACTTACACACACACACGGTGATAATACTGTTAACGAACTACTTACACACACACACACACACACGGTGATAATACTGTTAACGATCTACTTACACTCACACACGGTGATAATACTGTTAACGATCTACTTACACACACACACGGTGATAATACTGTTAACGAACTACTTACACACACATACGGTGATAATACTGTTAACGAACTACTTACACACACACACACACACGCGGTGATAATACTGTTAAAAAACTACTTACACACACACACACACGGTGATAATACTGTTAACGATCTACTTACACTCACACACGGTGATAATACTGTTAAAGATCTACTTACACACATACACGGTGATAATACTGTTAACGAACTACTTACACACACATGGTGATAATACTGTTAACGAACTACTTACACACACACACGGTGATTATACTGTTAAAGATCTACTGACACTCACACACGGTGATATTACTGTTAACGAACTACTTACACAGAAACACACACACGCGGTGATAATACTGTTAAAGATCTACTTACACTCACACACGGTGATATTACTGTTAACGAACTGGTTTCTTTCTTCGATTTAATCCAAAACTGGGAGAATTTCAAGGATACGTCTTTATAATGTTCACACAGTCCGTAATTAAATGCTTCAGTGTATAATCTGACAAATTTCTTTCACTTTCAAAATCTATTTGAAGGTACAATTGGTCCTCAAGAACGCATGTGACAATTTAGCATGTGACAATATAGCATGTGAATTAGAAATATCATCTTTCAAATTAATGGATTGTGATACTATCCACTGTCTTAACCAAAAAATGCATGGTCGTTTGTTTGATGGTCTGTTCAGGTTTTTAGGAAACAAATTCAACATAAATACTGAATAACCCCTGGATATCTTCGTGATCAGTGCGAAGTGGAATGTTTGTTATTTTCCTTATAAACATTTTACTAGGATTTACGTTAAAATATTTTGATATTTCACTAACGTTTATTGTCATATATGACAAGAAGCCGTTTGCTGTTTGTCCGTCTGTTCGCGTGAGTGTGTTTTGAATTTCTTTCATTCGGAGTTAAAGGAAGCAAGTTCAAAATACAGAGTTGGAATCAGGTACACAATATGTACACAATAGGTACACAATATGTACAGAATAGGTATAGGATAGGTACACAATAGGTACACAATAGGTGCACAATAGGTACACAATAGGTACACAATATTTACACAATAGGTACACAATAGGTACACAATATGGACACAATAGGTACACAATATGTACACAATATGTACAGAATAGGTACACAATATGTACACAATAGGTACTCAATAAGTACACAAAAGGTACACAATAGGTACACAATAGTTACACAATAGGTAGACAATATGTACACAATATGTACACAATAGGAACACAATAAGTACACAAAAGGTACACAATAGGTACACAATATGTACAGAATAGGTATAGGATAGGTACACAATAGGTACACAATAGGTATACAATAGGTACACTATATGTACAGAATAGGTACACAATAGGGACACAATAGGTACACAATAGGTACACATTAGGTACACAATAGGTACATCATATGTACAGAATAGGTACAGAATAGGTACGCAATATGTACAGAATAGGTACACAATATGTACACAATAGGTTCACAATAAGTACACAATATGTACACAATATGTACACAATAAGTACACAAAAGGTACACAATAGGTACACAATAGGAACACAATATGTACACAATAGGTAAACAATATGTACACAATAGGTACACAATAGGTATATAATAGGTACACAATATGTACACAATAGGTTCACAATAAGTACACAATATGTACACAATATGTACACAATAAGTACACAAAAGGTACACAATAGGTACACAATAGTTACACAATAGGTACACAATATGTACACAAGAGGTACACAATATGTACACAATATGTACAGAATAGGTACACAATATGTACACAAGATGTACATAATATGTACACAAAAGGTACACAATATGTACACAATAGGTACAAAATAAGTACACAAAAGGTACACAATAGGTACACAATATGTACACATTAGGTACACAATAGGTACATCATATGTACAGAATAGGTACAGAATAGGTACACAATATGTACAGATTAGGTACACAATATGTACACAAGATGTACACAATATGTACACAAAAGGTACACAATATGTACACAATAGGTACAAAATAAGTACACAAAAGGTACACAATAGGTACACAATAGTTACACAATAGGTAGACAATATGTACACAATATGTAAACAATAGGTACACAATATGTACACAATAGGTACACAATATGTACACAATAGGTACACAATAGGTACACAATAGGTACACAATAGGTACACTATATGTACAGAATAGGTACACAATAGGTACACAATAGGTACACAATATGTACACAATAGGTACACAATAGGTACACAATATGTACACAATATGTACACAATAGGTACACAATATGTACACAATAGGTACACAATATGTACACAATAGGTACACACTATGTACACAATATGTACATAAGATTCATTAGTCAATTTTTCAAGGGAGAGAAGTATAGATATATACCTGACAACAGCAGATACATGCTTGTGAGAAGATTCATGTAGCACAACCAAAAGTGTTGGACAGAGAGAGAGAGAGAGAGCAATCTGTTCAAGCGGCAGATAAAGGAAGCTACATGTATCTGTAGTAAAATCAAGTCATTTCGGTACATATATTACAAATCATTGTACATACGCTTACAGCGTAGCCGAACCGTACATATTTTACACCTTTGTGTAAATACGCTTCACTGATCATTTGTCTGATGAAGGCGACATAGTAACTACCGTAATAGCCATCGATACGTCACATATAAACACATATAGGTTGTGCTACATGAATCTTTTCACAATTAATATTTACCAGACTGAAGAAAATGTTTAGAAAAAATAATCAGACACATACCTTTAATATACAGTTGTTATTTTTGGGATGAGTATCTTAAGTCTGACGTTTTGAATGCATTCCATGGCTTCCTTTGTACTCTCAGCTTTGTCTGTGACGTCACCACACCATCGCCATACTGCATTGTTGATTGTCAGAGGAGAACGTCACATCGTTGATGCTCTCGGAGAGAAATTATGAAGATTATCATTTTTTATTATTAATCTAGCGTCATATACTAGAATAGAATGGACGGTACAAGTGTTGTTTACTTAGTGTATATTTATAACACAGTTTATGCACTTTGTAACAAAAACAAAACACAAGTACTTATAATACGTAAATGAATACACCTACATAATGACACTGGTGAAGTCCGTGTTGTAGGAGGATACACTACAGTATACTCCTGTAAGTATTACATAATACAGTAGAGTGGTGATGTTACCACACTATAGCGATGCACTGTCCTCAGTGCGGCTGGTTTTTTAACACTGTCATCTTAGCGAGAAGGTAGCGCAAGAAACCAAAAATGTACTTTTACATTTTTCTTATATAAATATTCATCATTAGCATGTTTCTTTATCAGTTCATAATAATTGATGTAGCTTCTGATGAAATTATGCGTGGTACTTTTGCTGCTCGTTAAGCTGACTATGCTCAGTGTACATTGTCCAAGGTGACGGTTGTGATGTTGTTTGTGTGAGGAATTGCCGTTGATGATCTAATATATGATTAGTACCACATGGATATCGCCGAGTGGAGCACACAGTGTTCATACTGAATATACCTATCAATGCCTGCATCCCAACGAAATGAATATAAGCATAACTTGATTATTTGTAGAGAAACGACTGCAGCATGAGAATAACATGTGTGTTTTCTGCAGCACCCCCTGTTCACAGAAGTGGATATGACATGTTTGTGCTAAAAATACTCTTAGAAAATTCCTTTTTCTACAAACATCTAATAGTTTGGAAGTCTTACACGCTTAAACGATGGCAGTTGGTCGATATATTATGACCTTAGTCATAGATGTGTGACAATAATGTAGGGTGGATTAATAGTGGTATTAGTATACTGGAGTTCTGCTGCCAAATGAGGCGGTGCCAATGGGGAGACGCTCGACCGATGACAGTTGTCAGGGACTGCCGCGAACACTTAATCTGTAGAGCCTCACGTAATCCAGGGGTTGTCGTCTGCTCCGAATCAGATTATGTGATTATGTAGCCGAAAATATGTGTTGATGTTGTTTATAACAGGATTTTTTTATTTGTTGCTGCAATGGCAACTTACAGTGCTATGAAGTCTATGTGGTACTTCATTAGATCCACTGCTTCATCTTTCCAGGTCAAAGTAAAGATATGCGTGCAATTCTTCAAAGTTGGCGAAATTGATACCCTGAAGGAACAATATACGGCAGATGTCATTGTGAAAGCAAAATGGCGGGAACCCTCACTTGACGGACAAAATAAAACGGTATGTATTTGACACGTGACCTTTAAGCGTATCATACTATAACTGATATTTCTATTGTATATTGTTGAGATATTCATCATCTATTTTTTTCCTGTTTTCAATATTAATCATTAATTAAAAGACATACGCGATATTTCATACCGATGTTCAAGTATCCTTGGACTTTTTCGATGCATTCTCACAACAGTGATTTCATTTCGGAACATAAGGGAAAAAAAGGCATTTAAAAACTGATTTAACAGCTTCAACATTTCAACCAATTCAAAACATTGGAAAAACAAAACAGATATAGTGTAGTAAACGGTATTTACGGTAACCGTTGACAGTGTTTTTTTCAGCAAGTCTAATTTGATTGGCTTACGATTTCTCAGGTCAGAAGATGTATGTCATAAGCCCAGTCTAGACCACTATGTAGGTGTAGTATCGATAAGCTAGTCTGTCGTCACCAGACACTTAACATTCTTCCACAGGGGTCACGTCCTCACGTGACCTTTACGGATTTACCAGACATGTAGCATCTGGAAGAACAGGGGAATTCCATAGGCTGCGTTATGTTTCAATGATTTTCACATTTAGATCTTAAACATAAAACGATTCCAAAGATAATAATTCAATTAAGTTTAATTGGCGTGTACAAATATCTGTTGTTTACGGTAATAAATAAGACATGCCCATAGGGTGTGCAGCTTATAATGACATGATAAATGTATCGAACATCAAGGAAAGTGGACTTAATCTTATTCGAATGTAGCTTATTTGTTACTGTTTATATGGTGTGGTGTTGTTAATTTCTGAAAATATATATTAGGCACATATGGTCACAAGTCTACAAACAGCATATGTTTGTATACGGGGAGTCAACGTGTATCGCGTGACGAGTTGGATATCATACGTGTAGCGATTTTATTGGTAAAGACAGCACGAGGCACTGTAAGGATATACCACGAATATCTGTGTCCAGAAATAACCACGTACATTTACAAAAGAACTGAAGAACAAAATCAAATCTATCATCATAATAAGATGTCCTTAATTGTCTGACATTAGCTTTTTACTAAATAAAACGTACTGTAGTAGGACGCATTCTTAAACAAATAATGTCCGATCTAAATAGAAAGAAGGACAGAAGTGTGTGTTAATCTTAAATCAGTTCTCATGTGTCAAAAATACCGTTTCAACTGAATACGCAAAAACACCTGTATGTATATTTTACAAGCATTAAATGTAAAAATAATATCATTTCTTTGCTATAGTGTTATGAGCATATTCTGGTTAACTACATTTAGTTGATAAAATACATGATTTCTAACAACCAGTCAGCGGCTTCATTATATAGGTCATTTTAACAAATAAATAGCCTTGGGTGATATGCATGCAATTAACATCAGTTATTTAAGCCGAGTTGTCATTCTGTTTGAAAACCAAAATATCATATTTGAGACATTGCAATTATTGGTACGGAAAATGTAAATATCATTTAACACATTGACGCCTTTACATTGTGGTCGATATATCTAAAAATGTTTACAAATAATATGAATGCAAAATCTGTTTGCAAATGAAATATTTTTCATGTATATTTATGTCACCTTTGTCATTTTCTCATTATATATTTTGCAGTCGGAATCAGTAGAGTTCAACAAAATGTGGAATCCTAAACTGTATATAGAAAATTCTCTAGGCGATCCTAAAGAACAAATCCGGTACCAAGTGCTATATAACGATAAGGGAGAGGCGTATGTGTCTGAGAAACGAGTTATCAAGGGAACCTTCATGGAAAACCTAGAGCTGGACGACTTTCCATTCGATGTCCAAGTAAGTATGTCCTATCAGTTTTGACACGTTGTTATGAGTACAGTGGGTATCTTTTATACCACTTCTTTTGTCGCTAACCTAGGTCGGCGCACTGTGAAACGAATAGAGAAGAAGGGAGAATTTTGTCTAAAACAACAAGTCCGAATGTAAGGACATTCGGATTGCTAGTGTTGGATGAACGAGCCTTAGCTCTTATAGAAATACAGAACAATAAGCTCAATATACTATTTAAGCGATAAACTGCATAGATGTGGCAGACCAACTGATATAACTGCCACATGTGTCACATACAAACTGAATGGTGCGCGCTATCTGCCACATCTATGCAGTTTATTGCTTATATTTATATTTCCGTAATGATAATTCGCCAAAAAATATTTATGTCTTTTCTAACTTTCAAATTTCCCGCTTATTACCGTCAGGTCAGGTCAATATCTTGAACGGCACAAAGATAACAGCTGACGTCACGCGCTGTTTCCCATACACAATTGAAAAGGCTCCGCAACTTTCGTTAATAATTCATTTGTTTTTGATTTATAATATATATCATATTCTCAATTCATAAAATAGTAACAAATAACATTTGTAAGTAACTAACCAAGTGCCGTAAAACATTTTTCGATTTTATTGCGACTTATATCCTGCGCACGCACTCAACGGAAGCCCGCAGTAATCAGGGCAGAGTTATATTTGCAGTCCGGCATGTTGTTGATGTTGATCTTGCAACCGGCGAAGGTTGAATTGGTGAAATATCCAGGCGTACAATTGTTTGTTGATCTCACAGACACTTGAGACAGGCAGCTGGTGTTTGGGATCAAAGCAGAAGAAACCGATAAGTTCGGCAGTGACACTGTTAAGTCGCTCGGAGGTGCAAAGACCAACTTCAGTTATAGTCTCATAATGGCAGTACTTTAGTAGTAATATAGAAGGGCTTTGCCGCAACAAATGTAAATATAATATAATAGCTCAACATTGAAGTAAAGAGAATGTTGATGTTGAGTATAACTTATCATTTAAATGTACTTGTGCTGAAACTCATCACAATAAATCCCTGTAGACAATCAAGGGAAAACAACTCGTAAACCCCTGTCATCAACAACCACACAGCCTTATGACGGAACTTGTGGGATCGCTTGCCATTCACAATGTATAGTGTCCCTTGTGTACCACTGCGTAAAGGCTCTCTGGGTATTATTGATATGAAAATGACAACAAAGCAAAACTAATGAAAGAGAATAATATACATGCTTGAACATTTACATTCTAAAAAACAAAAATACAGGCACAAATGCGCAATTAAGTTTTGAAACATCGATACAATCTGATATAATCACAATAATTATCAGACCTTTGCTTTGGTTGTAAACATTTTAGCTGGTTTTGTCTTCATTTGTTGAGAATGAATACAATTGTATGTATGACATATAAAACAAATCACTCTAGGAAAAACGTACCTTGGTGTAATCTACGGCGGCTATTCAGCAGTCTTCCGCGGAGACATATTGATGTCTAGTAACATGACAGGGGTTTACCGGGATTCTCCCCACTACCTCCGCGGATACATATTGATGTCTAGTAACGGGACAGGGGTTTACCGGGATTCTCCTCACTACCTCCGCGGATACATATTGATGTCTAGTAACATGACAGGAGTTTACCGGGATTCTCCTCTCTTCCTCCGCGGATAGATATTGATGTCTAGTAACCCGACAGGGGTTTACCGGGATCCTCCTCACTTCCTCCGCGGATACATATTGATGTGTAGTAACATGACAGGAGTTTACCGGGATTCTCCCCACTTCCTCCGCGGATACATATTGATCTCTAGTAACATGACAGGGGTCTACCGGGATTCTCCTCACTACCTCCGCGGTTACATATTGATGTCTAGTAGCAGGACAGGGGTTTACCGGGCTTCTCCTCACTACCTCCGCGGGTAGATATTGATGTCTAGTAACTTAATAGGGGTTTACCGGGATTCTTCTCACTTCCTCCGCGGATACATATTGATCTCTAGTAACATGACAGGGGCTTACCGGGATTCTCCTCACTTTACAGAACAATAAGCTCAATATACTATTTAAGCGATATACTGCATAGATGTGGCAGATAGCGCGCACCATTCAGTTTGTATGTGACATGTTACTAGACATCAATCTGTATCCGCGGAGGTAGTGAGCAGAATCCCGGTAAACCCCTATTAAGTTACTAGACATCAATATCTATCAGCGGAGGAAGAGAGGAGAATCCCGATAAACCCCTGTCATGTTACTAGACATCAATCTGTATCCGCGGAGGTAGTGAGGAAAATACCGGTAAACCCCTGTCATGTTCTAGACATCAATATGTATCCGCGTAGGAAGTGAGGAGAATCCCGGCAAACCCCTGTCGTGTTACTAGACATCAATATATATCCGCGGAGGAAGAGAGGAGAATCCCGATAAACCCCTGTCATGTTACTAGACAACAATATCTATCCGCGGAGGTAGTGAGCAGAATCCCGGTAAACCCCTATTAAGTTACTAGACATCAATATCTACCCGCGGAGGTAGTGAGGAGAATACATCACACAAACAAGGAAAAGAGGAAGATTACATCACACAGACAAGGAGAAGAGGAAGATTACACCATATATGCTCTGTCCCGCTGTTTTATTATACGCTTTATGTTATGTGCCAAGAGGTTAGACTAGTAGATGGTATGATAGCTGTGAATCTCTATATATTATTAACCGGAATATATATATATATATATTCAACTAGAAAATATATCTTTATATTTTTGTTCACACAGAAGTCAGATATGTGCACCTACATTTAGCGATGACCTGATCAATTATATTCCTTTATTGATAGATACCTATCTATAGCCTTTACACCATTTATTAATAATAGCTACAAAATGAGTCTATGAATTGATGGATGATAACATTGTTACTCTAAATAATGAAGTAATCCACCGATTGCGTCAACACACTAGGTGAAAGCAAGAACATTCAACGTCGATAGACAATTACAACAACAGGAAGTGAGGAGAATCCCAGTAAACCCCTGTCGTGTTACTAGAAATCAATATCTATCCGCGGAGGTAGTGAGCAGAATCCCGGTAAACCCCTATTAAGTTACTAGACATCAATATGTTTCCGAGGAGGAAGTGAGGAGAATCTCGGTAAACCCCTGTCGTGTTGCTAGACATCAATATCTATCCGCGGAGGAAGAGAGGAGAATCCCGATAAACCCCTGTCATGTTACTAGAGATCAATATGTATCCGCGGAGGAGGTGAGGAGAATCCCGGTAAGCCCCTGTCGTGTTACTAGACATCAGAAGAGGAAGATTACATCGCACAAACAAGGAGAAGAGGGAGATTACATCACACAAACAAGGAAAAGAGGAAGATTACATCACACAGACAAGGAGAAGAGGAAGATTACGTCACACAAACAAGGAGAAGAGGACGATTACATCATACAAACATGGAGAAGAGGAAGATTACATCAAACAAACAAGGAGAAGAGGACGATTACATCATACAAACATGGAGAAGAGGAAGATTACACCATATATGCTCTGTCCCGCTGTTTTATTATACGCTTTATGTTATGTGCCAAGAGGTTAGACTAGTAGATGGTATGATAGCTGTGAATCTCTATATATTATTAACCGGAATATATATATATATATATATTCCGGTTAATAATATATAGAGATTCACAGCTATCATACCATCTACTAGTCTAACCTCTTGGCACATAACATAAAGCGTATAATAAAACAGCGGGACAGAGCATATATGGTGTAATCTTCCTCTTCTCCTTGTCTGTGTGATGTAATCTTCCTCTTCTGATGTCTAGTCACACGACAGGGGTTTACCGAGATTCTCCTCACTTCCTCCGCGCATAGATATTAATGTCTAGTAACATGACAGGGGGTTACCGGGATTCTCCTCTCTTCCTCCGCGGATACATATTGATCTCTAGTAACATGACAGGGGCTTACCGGGATTCTCCTCACCTCCTCCGCGGATACATATTGATCTCTAGTAACATGACAGGGGTTTACCGGGATTCTCCTCACTTCCTGTTGTTGTAATTGTCTATCGACGTTGAATGTTCTTGCTTTCACCTAGTGTGTTGACGCTATCGGTGTATTACTTCATTATTTAGTGTAACAATGTTATCATCCATCAATTCATAGACTCATTTTGTAGCTATTATTAATAAATGGTGTAAAGGCTATAGATAGGTATCTATCAATAAAGGAATATAATTGATCAGGTCATCGCTAAATGTAGGTGCACATATCTGACTTCTGTGTGAACAAAAATATAAAGATATATTTTCTAGTTGAATATATATATATATATATATTCCGGTTAATAATACATAGAGATTCACAGCTATCATACCATCTACTAGTCTAACCTCTTGGCACATAACATAAAGCGTATAATAAAACAGCGGGACAGAGCATATATGATGTAATCTTCCTCTTCTCCTTGTTTGTGTGATGTAATCTTCCTCTTCTCCTTGTTTGTGTGATGTAATCTTCCTCTTCTCCTTGTTTGTGTGATGTAATCTCCCTCTTCTCCTTTTTTTGTGTGATGTAATCTCCCTCTTCTCCTTGGTTGTGTGATGTAATCTTCCTCTTCTCCTTGTTTGTGTGATGTAATCTTCCTCTTCTCCTTGTTTGTGTGATGTAATCGTCCTCTTCTCCTTGTTTGTGTGATGTAATCTTTCCTCTTCTCCTTGTTTGTGTGATGTAATCGTCCTCTTCTCCTTGTCTGTGTGATGTAATCCCAGGCGTTAGTGGAGCCGATGGCACTGTCGTTACAAATGATGTTATCAACAATACCGAAACGCGTGTGATACCATTTTACATAACAGAATGTGGTATAGATTGGCACTTTAATGCCCACACATCCACGTGGTTTTGTGTCAGTTCACACAGTCCACACATTATTCGAATGCACCAAACTGACTGAAGGCCAAGAACTACGACAAACAGACATAATCAGATTAACACAAACATACTGTAGCGTGTATACATTTTGTATCCTAGATCCCATATTTTTACTCAACCAACGATAAGTGTCTCAGATCAGGAGGGGAATAGCATGTTTATAAAGCGATTGATACATTTTGTTTTTAGTTCAGAATACTGCACCAATGCATTGTAACTGTATTATTATTCTACTTCTGCATTGACCGTTTATTTTGCACTTTATGCCTTCAACTTAAGCCTAAATCTTTGCTAATCAGATTTAATGGCTTTGAGGACATAAAAACAATAAAGTGAAACACATCAACTGAAGAACCTTGAAGATTTTTTTGCTTTGGATTACTTTTGTTATTCATCACTAAAGTAGGGGCTTAAAACACCGAGACTTTTGGGGTTTCATCAGGGTAATACAACATCAGTGGCTTAAGATAATAAACATTTGAAGGGTAGATTGTAACCTTGCCATGTTAATAATATACTTATATACTAATAAAAGTGGATTCTGGTCATCATTTGAAATATATACCAACATTTTGTTACTTTGTGGACAGGATATCACTATCACAGTGGCATCGGAGCTTCCTTCCAGTGAGGTGGAGCTAATAGAGGATGATGACGACCATCACGTGGTCAACAAACAAGCATTCGTGGACGAACAGGAGTGGCATTTATATATGCATACAGAGTGTGTAAAACGTGACATAGTGATAGATCAGGCGGACATGAGTGTGCGGCGCTCGGCACTTTCCGTCAAGTGTCGGGCTGCCCGGAGGCCTGGTTATTTTGTATGGAATATATTTGTTGTAACAGTAAGTCTTTAATCACTGACAAATGCTGTTATACATATTTAATGAATGCTATCAGTTTTGTGATGTTTTCATTGGACGCTTTGTTGAGGAAATGTAAAGCTTCTAATGTTTAAATGAGCTGAAAAGTACAACTTTGACGTGAGTGAATTATGAATATCGTTCATTATCAAAAGAAATTGCAAGATTTGTGAACGACCTTTACCCACATGGCTAGCATTAATGTCATTCGAAGGAAGTAATTTTCCATAATGCCGTAGAGTATTTGTTGTAAATAGATATACATATAATGTATTAGTGATTCGCTTCAAATTGTGTATGACATATTTTAATGCGTCTAAATTCCACAATGTTTTTGTTTACTTTTAGTTTTTAATATGCAGTCTGGCATTCACGACATTTTCAGTGAATAACAACCTACCTCAAAATCGACTACAGCTGTCTTTTACACTCGTACTAACGGCTGTTGCCTTCAAATCTGCTGTCAACTCAAGTCTTCCTAGGATATCGTATCTCACATATATGGTAAACCTCTCGTGTGACACATCCTGATATACTTCAATATAGATGTTCTTAGATGTTTCTTGTGATTAGGTTCTCTCCTGATCATTCGCGGTGGTACATTGCGTTGCAAAAACAGTAGGGTATTTGTAATCTACATTGACTTACCCTCTCCTCTTTGCTTTAGTTTATCATGGTAGCCTTTAAATAATATATATTGGTCTCCTTCTGTCGTTATTGAATATTAACACAACTATTCACCGAATCATAAATATAATATTTTAGCATCTTTTATTCCATTTATTAGGTAAATATTAATAGATTTTTATATTAATTCTACGACATCCTTAGGTAAAAAGGGAGATAATTTAAGACATTTGACCCACTTTTTGAACAGTCGTATTATAACCTGTCTATGTGTAGCATAATTATTTTCGAGTATATTACCCCCCCCCCNTTTAAATACTAGAACATGTTTGTTTTAGGTGCAAGTTAGGTTGGTAAAAATAATTATGTGACACATTCAATGCAATTAATGTTAAATAGAAACAAATATGGCATAACGTCAATACGAACTTATTAATGTCTAAACTCATTAATCATCAAAAAGGTAAGCTAGAAAACACCAAAATAAAAAGGCGAGACAACATGAACCCCACTCAACACGAACTTGTTACCGTGGTCAGACCTAGTAACTACCCCGTGTAGGAATGTGACCCACAGTATGTTGATTTGTCTAATGAATGTTTGTGTAATTGAACCAAAAATTCATTACTTATTGCATGGATATGTAAACAAGTAAAAATATCACCCAATATATTCCATGTTTGGCCAGCATAAATACTTTGTTACTGATTTATATTTCATTATGTTAACTTTGTTTTTGTTGTTTTTGGCAGGATAAATATTTACTGATAGCGATGGTGATGCTTACAGCGGTTTGTGTATGGCATGCCATAGTGTCAACATTAGCCACGCAGGAGAAACGCGACCGTATAGAAAGTGTCGTTCTCACAGTACTAGCAGCCATCTACATATTTTATAATATCGGATTCTTCATAGTTATATATGTATCAGTAAGTATATTGTTGGATGTTTCATACTTGTAAATTGGATTTGATGTGAAAACATATCAAGTTTTAAATAGGTATCGCTAAAATAACACATTAAAGTTTCAATAAGTATTAAGTTTGGATTTTTAAATAATGATTATTTAAGCAATTGATTACAATTCACCTCGCCCGAAGGACTTAAGGTAAGGCCATGGGTCGTTGTCTGTCGTCTGTCGCCCATCCTCTGTCTATCGACTGTTTTTTTTTAAATCCTACATCTGCTCAACAGCCGATGGGATTGTAACAAAATTCTGTCTTAGTTCAGACTATAAGGTAAAATATTGAAAACTGTCACTAACAACAACTGTATGCTTTATATTCATATACTGTAACACTTTATTTTATACTGATGCATTTGAAATGTAATGAAATTTAAATGTTTCTTACTTTTACCACTCTTGTATGCCCATACGGAGAAATGCCCTAAACGGAATAAGTTTTCCTAGAGAACCTAAGATATTAAATTTATGCAGAAAGGATTATATTTTGGTTTCTCAAAATGTACCCTCATCTTCGCATTTCATCACACATTGGGGTATTGCAGGTCAATTATTTTTCACAAAGCAATTGTGAACTTTTCCCGCATTAATTAATTTCTTCTCCTTGTTTTTGTCAATTATAAATAAGGTCGAACGAGGGTGACACAGACGTTTTCTTGCTTAACTTTGTGTTGATCTGGTCAGATCAATCATTTGTAGGCCTTCCTAAACCAGCTTGGCGACGTAAACACCCACATTTAACTCGTTTATCTACGCTTATCAGGTTCCCTCTAGTCCTACTCGAGAACTGTTAGCTTTATCTTTCATCACTACATTAGTAAATCTGTGTATATATTATACTAGTAATGCTATGAGTAAATAGTGTTCAGTACACAGATACAGATAAACTGTTTACTAGCCAAACTCATTTGTTTGTAAAACACAAATCAGCATTTTCTTTCAAAAGTCCTAGTTATAAGGATGACGATACAATAAGGTACATTGCTGCTGATGTATTCGTCTGCCTTTGTTGGTTATTTCTTTTCATGTTGACTTAATTTGTTTCAGCTTCAGATAATTAAGTTACCAAGAACAGGAAAACGCATTGGAAATCTCCTTTATACCGGTCAAGGTCTAGGCTTGATAGAATTAAGTAAAACAGAAACTTGTCTAACGTTTCTAATGTCTCTGTCTCAATTACATTTCAGTTCTACCTGTCGTGAACTTTTAAATGTTACAAATGTAAAAGAGATGTTTTAGGATTTGTTGTTACATTGAATAACAGCACGTACGTCTACCTTTGCAAACATTCGGTTTTATACGCAAATTCTTTGATCTAAACCCTCAACTCCTTAAACCAATGTTAGATTTTACAAACTATGAGTTTTACCTTTGCTCAGTATCAAACATGACGAATTGAAACCAATTGTTTAAATATACAATCAATCGTCTAAGCACTCTTATAAATAGTTAATTTATTAATTATTTCAATTTTGAACATTTTTAACTAATAATGAAACATTATTTACTTAGTGCATTTTAAAAGTATATTTATGATCACCTTCAAGAATCTTCATTATTTCATTTTCATTTTTTAATTCACATACACATATTTAAACGCACGGTATTGTTCACATAAACTATTTTTATCTTTACATCCCTCACGTCAATAAATTTCAAAATGATATCGCTATGATTTCATAAAACAGGAACATCTGTAATGCCATCCAATTTATCACAAATCATTCTGTCTTTTCAGCCATGGAAAAAGCGACGAGAAATGCAACAAAAAGACAAAGAATATCAGGTATTTGGTTGTATTCATTTATTAATATTAAATGAAAATGATCTTGCTTTCGTACAAATCCTTTTAATAAAGAAAAGCCTTGTTTTTAGTTGAAAACAATATTTTTATTTAAAGCAAACATGGAAAATTGCATCGAACGTTTTACTTCACAAAAGGCAATGTTTGCAAGCCATACTACATATATAAGAAAAACTGGATAATTTGCATGCTTTAATGTTCCCTGTCGATTCGAAAGGATTCCAAATGTATTATAAAATGAAACAGAATACAATTATAAAAAAATAGAAACTAATCCTTGTTAACTGTGATCTTAGAGCCATATTATTTTCCGTTATAAATAGTTTCTTTAAATGATCTTTACACAAACAAAACCTACGTAAACCAACTCACCCCTTAAGTCACAATGAACATTTTCAAATCAACGACTGGGCAAGTCCATTTCAAATACGTAGGGGTGTAGGAGTTACTTTGATTGCAACAATATCATATCTCCAACTGATATGACTGGTAGTACCGAACACGCTTTAACAAAGAACGCGAAAGCGATCTTTCGTGTTTTTAATTAAGTGGTGTTTTTTTTTCATTTTCTGCCTCTATAATAAGGGAGAATTCTTATAAAAGTTTACACTATTAAATTACTTTATATACAATGAAAAAATGAAAACAGGGCGAAAAGAAGACTGGGCAAATGTGGATTTTATCGGCAATGAGCGTAAGTTTTACTGGGCGAAGGTTTTCCGGTAGACAGTACTGCAGGTTCCATTTGCATAGAGCTGTACAATAAAGAAAGAAAAAAGGTTTACATAAGTTCCTTAACAATCCAGTTTGATATCGCCCTGTTTCTGATTTAACACATGCTTACTATGTCAACATAATCAACAATTAATTGAGTTTTAAACAAATTCAAAATATACAGGTTTCCAAGAGCAAAGTATGACAACCTTTCGTTATACTGATACGTTTGTCTGGCCAAATATTTGAGTTATAAAGGGTTATTGCAATATATCGAGAGTTATCTATACAATTGTTATAAAAAGCAAAAAGAGGCTTTAATATGTGTGGCAGTATGCGTGATGGCACATAAAATGATAACAAATTAATTAAGTTATCTTGTTTGAAATTTTTGAAGGACACGAGGTTTACATATTGCATTCATTTTCTATGATAACAGAATAATAATAATACAGGGTGATGAAAGAAATTACCAAAAAGTACAAGACGAGGAACTATACCGTATGTTTAGTTCAGAGTTTATCACATGGATTATGTGGAAAACATTGTGGGCTATAGTGTAATAAAAATACACGTTATACAACTCCTTAGACGGGGCTGTTGTGAATATTTTAGATGAAATACGCTGCATCAGATGAACTAGCCAGGAGCATGCTATTGAGTGCAATGTTTCCAACACCGGTTAAAACACCGAATATTAGGAACGATACCATTCCCGAATGAAATATACTCTTCAATAAAAAGGTAAGTAAATAATAGTCTGTCATATTGAAACACAATATGTTATCGTTTGTACAGTATCTGTCAATGCTTCTCTGTCATACCTGTACGTATATTTAACCAGCACATGATTATATACGAATACAAATGTGTCTGTGTTTTATGACGTCAATAATGTCGGTTTATGTGTGTTTGTGAAAATCAAACAAAAACCAATTTTCGGTATAATTATTCTTAGAAATCAATGATAAATGAAACATATATTTTCCTTATGAATACCCTGTCGTAGTCCAAAGCATGTGTGTCGCTCTCCATTTTCCTGATGATACCAGAATGTTTGTCGGATATAATGGTCAATGCATGAACATACATACCATCCTGCATGTTTTAATTGTATTTTATTTTCTGCAATCACCAAAACAAAAATATTATTTAACACATATTGCTGTAAAAGATTTGTTCTAAAGAGGGTCTAAGAACTATTTTTAACTTTTACAAATTCGAAGCTCTATAAATACGCCATCTGTAACGCAATATATGATCGCGTGAGACAAAGTTAGACACTTTGCATCTTTCCTGAGTGACATGTTCTTAACTGACTTTGCATACAAATCAAAGTTGATGTTCTTCACAAGTTTACGTAGATATTATCTTATATATGTTGTCAATATTTTTCTCTGTATCGTTCGTATTTCGATGTTTTTCATGACACATACATTTAAACATTTTCATCCTTGTGGCCTTTGGTGACCTGATTTTGCTGTTGGACTGGGAAATATTACCGCGTGGTCTTTTATGACCGGAGTAACACTTCCGTGTAGCCCTTTATGGCCGTAATGAGTTGATGGGCTGCGAAGACTATTGCTTGGTCCTATATGACCTTATTGTGATGATGGGCTGTTCAAGCTATTGTGTTGTCAGGGATGACATCATTGTTTTAATAGGCCATAAAGGTTTATAACCAATTAAGAAATAGCCGTTAGTCACGAAAAATGCTTATATTCTGACTGAATAAACAGGTTCGTTTGTTTCGTCTATAGGAGAAACTTATAAAGACTTCATATCACAATTGACCGCTTATAGAGCGAATGTTTGATACATTTCCATAATATTGCAAACAAAACATTTAAAAAAAGCATAGGAATGAGTATGGTTTATGTTCTTGTAAAAGTGACGCTACGTGACCAGAGGTAAATTGGCACGTCAATATGTTAAAGCATCTCTCTGAACCATTTAACAAACATTAACATTTCACAAACATTCACGTTTCACAAACAGTCACATTTCGCAAACACTCACGTTTCATAAACATTCACGTTTCAATTTTATTTCACATACAATAACAAACCGTGTTTTTACCCTTTTTTTCTTTCTTTTTATGTTTCAGTATTTTATAATATTTCAAAATTGTTTCGTCTTCATGTCAGGAAAACTGCCTGAACTCATGAACAGTTTTTAATATTTCAATTCTGTTTTACGTCCCAAATAGTATATTTTCAGTTTTTGACGTTTTACCTTTAATTCTTTTAATATCTCCGTTCTGCGACACATAACACAACTAACAAAACACTAAAGCTTATTACTGTATGTTGAATTGGCTTTTATTTTACATTGCAGATAAGATGCTTGACAGTTATGTGAAGAAGCAAAGAATAAATATAATATCAAATTACTTTGACTTGTTTTTACATGTGTGTGTTCGAAACAAACTTTCATTAACCCTTGAATAATGTAAAAGCAACAATAAAACAAAAAATATATAAACAAAACAATACAAACAAATACAAAGTTACTACTGAAGACTTGAGCTAGATTAAGAATATATTTGCTTTTATAAAGGAATGGCAATTATGCTGAGCCCATATACATTTTATCGGCAAATTTTACAATATATATTCATACATAATTAAAGCAATTTGCTATTAGTTGAGGTTAAACTGAATATTCGAACGCTTTCATAAAACATTAACGCTTCGAAACTTGATAATCATATGAACATACAATTAATTGTGAATTTTGAGGGTGACAACTCTCAGACGAATCACAAGAATAATGTGGTTTTTTTTTTAGTATCACCTCTCCTTAATATTAGCTTGCAAACGTATTTTCTGTTTATAATGTGTGTGATATATATGTTTCCCGAAAATAACGATTTTAGGTAATCAAACATCAAATTTAAAAAAAAATCTGGTTAGGTTTGAAAGGAAATGGGCTCAAGAACCAGTAGTAGGAGCAGTGTTTTTTTTAAATGCTGATTTTTTTTGATTTTTTTAATTTTTAAATACTGTTTTTTGGTTGGATGTTTTTTGTAATAGCGGGTTTTGCCTCTACTTAGTCTTCATTTCTGGAAGTGCTAAAGAATCGACGTCAATCAGTAACCTTTACTTATTCTAAAAATTGCCATACAATAAAAATGATTGAAATTTTTTTAAATCTTATATTAATTAATTGAATGATATAAATTCAAATTCAACCATATTCTTGCAATAATTGAGGTCTCTATAGTTCTGAAACAAATCTGTAAACAAATATATAAGGCATATAGATTAACGCTAATAAATTAGCATAAAGTTCGTGGATCTTCGTGATATAGAGTGGCATGGTACATAGATATGTCAAATGTGTAATACGAGCTGTTGTTTTGGGGCGTTATTAATATCCTATTTGGTTTTTTTTATCTTCTGTCCTCTATTGTCTTTTGCGTTCTGCTGTGAATCTTTCATTTATGCTTTTAAAATAAAATTAAACCATTTCTCTCGATGTCCTGTTGTTGTGTTTGGTATTGATTTTCAATATGCTTAGTTATCTATATTAATATTTTGAATCAATTTTATATTTCACTTGGCTGCAAATCAAAAATGTATATGCTTTGTGTTTGACAAAGTCGCATTACTATCAGTGTTTGAATTTTAGCTTCGACCAGTAATGGATTGTGTTGGCCACCTCTTGCCTTGTTTCATTAAAAACTGTCAACACATTTCAGCTGTGAAACGTACGTTTTAACCTTGAAAACCCCTCGAGGAATTTAAACATAAGTGGTTAATTTCCCTGGAGCAATTCTTTCAGTTGTTGATATTTTAGATAGGGTTATTGTAAAAACTGTTATTCGATAAAGGTTATATGGTTGCGAGCTCTTGATAATATCGCTCAAAGATGTTAAGCTTATTGATCCAGGATTAAGATGTTTCTTTATTTATTTAGTTAGTTGTTGAGCAAAAAACATAGATTTTTAAGATTTTTAAACTCATTTACGAATTTACGAAGCATACAATCATTTTTGCAATAAGCGATTTTAACGAACTTTATATGTATGTCCTCCAGTTACTGTATTTCAGATAAAGAAGTGCTAAATTTCACTTTTGCTTATTTCAAATGCAAGCGATACTTAATTTCTCGCGAATGTTTAGTCACCTAGTCCGAAGCTGATGCCAAGGCGCGGCGTCCGTCGTCGGCTTAGGGGGTTTTGACTTAATATTGCCTGGGGTATCAGTAAGCAAAAGGAAATCAATCTTTATAAACGGGAGTCGTGTGGCTCGCCTTGGAGCAGAGGGCAGGGGCCTAGGCATAAGGAATTTTATTTTGTATAAATAAAGAGCGTGCCAAGACTTTCCGAAAAGCATGGTTTGCCAAAGGGAATTTAACTGTGTGTACATGGATGGTGCCCTTTCCTTCTATAATAATGAAAGGATTTTTTCAGAGCCATCATTCAGCTAAAATGGCTCAGTTTAATGTAGATTGAGTGTGTTGTCCCCCTGGGGGCAGTGGGGCATGACCCAATAAGGTTAAACTTAGAATATTTCTTGTTCCATACAGAAAAATCGATCCAAACCAAATTCGACATAGTGTATCATATTAGCTTTCAAAGTTGTATAGACCTTCATCCCACGACCGCAATCCCTGCTCCCACAATGGGAATAGAAGGATGATACACAAAAAGAGATGGTTGTTGTTGAGGGACAGATCCAATATTTCGACATATTTGCAGGATATTTTCTAATGCGAATAGTTCGCCATGATTGCTTAAATATCCAGGTAAACGGCACAGGCCATCTGGGACTCTTGTTGACAAATATGCAGGTACAAATTTTGGGAAAAATTGACCCGTTGTATCTTACTGTATGTAATCGTGAGGGCCAACTAATATGGAACCCCTTTAAAATTGGTGCTGTCTTCTGCTGAGGGGACATTGACAAAAACCTCTTCTTCATTGTAACACTGGGTCTCACGTCTCTATGTCCTGCCTGCTATAGGGTGTCGGTTGTGCCTCCCCCGGCACCCATCTTCAACTAATCCTTAATTGTCGCAAGAAACTAACGTATGTTCATCAGATTTGAAGTACAACTCGTTACCATTAAATAATGATTATAAAATAATATGAGGATTGCTTCTGATTAATGGTTTAACGAGTGTTTGTATCCGTCGTGGAAAGTGCTACATGGTGTGAAATTAAAAGATGTCTCTAATATCCTAGTCCCGGCTCTAGGTTACCAGTTGGTCAATATTTGTTATCTGAAAAAAAACTTTTAAATGAAAATTATAAGAGGGGAAACTTAGAAAAAAAATAGAAACGGCATATATCAAAAGCATGGATTACATTTCAGTTAAAAAAAAAACAAATATATGCATTGACATAGAAGACATGTTGGTATAAAAAAAATAAAAAAATCATCGAAATCAATTTATATAGTTTTGTCTTTCCTTGAGATAGCTTATCTCAGATAATAACTAGTGTCAGATAAAAGTTAAGCAGGACTAAATACAAAACAAACAACAATGTTTTAGCAAAATCATTAGCTGGGGTCATTCTGGACCGAAAAGTATATATATAAAGAAGAGTCATGAGCTGCGTTTGTGTTCGTTTTCAAGAAGCCAGTCAGTACGAATAAAATGATTCTCACCGAAAGAACAAAAACAGCTAAATAATGTTAATACAATATATTTGAATATTCACATATATGGTGTCAATACCTGAATACATTCGGCGTTTTACAACTCCTAATGCAGGAATGCGAATGAAATGTAATAACTAAATGACTAGATCTAAAAAAGGAAGAACATATTGCTATAGAGGATCCATACAGAAAGCAAAATAATGGACAGCATCATATCATTATTTCGTTTATTCAGTGTTCCAAATGTTCCGAATGCTCAAAAACATTGTCGAAATACAGCAACATAGGAAACGTCTGTACGTATGTTTTTCCATGATTAAACGTACAATTTACATAAAGGCCATTGTATATAGGTGCACAATAAGTTAAGCTAATGTTAACGTTGATGGTTCATTCTGTATATTGTATATTGTATACTGTATACATCTGTGATTTATTTTGCTGTAATTTTTGCATTTGTGCTAATTAAAACAAAATTTCGCGATCCTATAAGATATATATCGCCACACTGCATTATATTAACCAGTATAGTGTTTACGATCTTCGGTTCATACAAGTAGGAAGAACTTTTTTTACCAATCCCCCTTTCAGTGAAAAATGGTAAACGCCATGTCTCTTAATGAAACCATTTACGAGTACCTCAGTTGCAACACAACTTTTATTCGGACCGGTATCGGATTTTGTGACCAAAGTTCAATATTTTCCGCCTACACTCCACAATTTTTAAAGTTGATACCATGAATTCTCCGTTAAAATTATAGTTATATTAGAGGTAGATAACATAATTTGTATAATATGAAACCTGCTAACAAAACAACTGAAAATGTTAAAAACAAATTGTTCGTCCTCACTTTGAAAAGATTTTATTCTGATAACACAAAATGTTTGCGAATTTTGCCATGTTGAGGCGACGCATTACGTGCTCTACATACAGCAGGGGATATAGACAATTAAGTTATATTGAATATCTATCACTCTTGAGTAAAGTAGGCGTTATATATGTATATGAGCATGCTTATGTTTGAAACGCAATTGTCACCAATAAAAATATGACCGAATGTCATTCCATAACAGCTTTTCATTTGCAGTCCCTGTTTATTTGTGTATGTCTGTATTGATTTGTCAAGTTAATATTTGTATTGTAAGCAATTATTTTAATATTGTCAACGTTTATCATTAAGCGACTTTTCAAGATATCTCGTCAGGGTAGCAGAAATACTGTTTTCCTGATATAATGAGAATTATTTTAATAAATAAGTTCAATTCCCGAATGGCTTAGATGAATAATATTTATGAAGAAAGACTACCACTAATATATATAGACACTGAATTAGAAATATGATAAAAAACGAAGTTACTGAAAAAAACTACATACACTTCCATTCCCTCGCGATTATTAAAATACCCAGCGAAGCGCACGCCTTACCGGTTGTCGCATCAAAGCTGATAATTAAAATAAATGTCGAAACATGATCAATCGTTGAAACCATAGACTCTTTATGTTGTACCAAACAAACGTTTACGCTATTGGCCTATCAAAATGTGTTTCTGTCAAAGTTTGGTACGTGTGGTTGAAATATTTCGCGCAGTACGGTATCGTATAGTAACGCTATCGCACGCTGTAAATAATAATCTTCATTTACATTAAAAGTGGTTGATCTTTGATTGTATAAATAATACAACTTTACGACGGTATAGTTTATGATATTTACCATTCAGATTTGCATGATTTACGGAATACATCATTGCTACAGTCGTGTCCAGTACACATGTTCCACCATGGGTTTAATCCGAAAGTGTGTATATACCGCTCGGCACACACATATACACATATATAGTATAGTCAAGGACGAATGACGTCACTATTAATCAGAAAAACGTGCGCGTGGCCGCATACTAATTAGATCTGCATTCCAGTGTATATAAAGTTGACATGATATTCAGAGAGGTAAGTCTGTATAACAGACATGCGAAGATTGTCGTGTATTATCATTTCTGTAATACATCAGAGTTCGGCTAAACATCATGGTAATTGGTCATAGCACCATGTTTTTTGTTTTATTCTATATATCTGTTTTCGAATAATGGCTTTATAGAAGTAGTTTGATATGCCATTTATTCCACTTGATGGTATTGAACGTGAATATAATATCTTCAATTATCAAATATGTTCATGAAAATATGTACTAATAGACTTTTGTGCTGGTGATTATGATGTGTTATGAACCTGAAAAAGTGATATTGACCGAGCCGAAGCCGAGGTCTTTATCACCTTTTCAGGTTCATATCTCATCATATTTACCAGTACAAAAACAAAACGAAACGCGAGGTTCTGATTTTCGTACGCGAGGCTCCGTGAAAAATTGGTCAGAACTCTTACGGAGGGGGNATGAGTTTTTGAGGACTGGTCACGTGTATAGGATCCGACCAATGTGATTGCGATAAATTTTCATGCATATACTAATTTAATATATCCTGACATTTTGTCTTTCACAGGAAGCTCTTCGACTAAATGCCAGGATCTAGACATATTTTTCACCACAAGGACAATCGTCCCATGAGCCCGCTCATACGATATTGATCGCAGCACTAAAGGGACTGGTTAACACAGTCAACAACACTCCGTTGTTCCATGAGTGTTTGGAAATCACCCAGCTTTTATACCTCTGATATCAACTAAGCGTGACCGGTGAACCGCAGCACTCTCCCGAGGCGAAACCAGTGGCCGAAGAGCAAAGTTTGAGTCTGCAAACAGCGTCAGTTAACATTTGCAACAACTCGTGTTTAAGAACAAGGTTCAGGAGAGTGATATGTTGTCAATGAATAAACAAATAGGCATGTATCGATCTAAGTATCATGTTGGTAGGTCTGTTTCACACAGCACCACACGCACATACCATGTTGGTAAGTCTGTTTCACCACACGCAGACGATACACACTGAAATCGTTCTCATCGAGCGAAGTGTGGATTTGTGTTTCAGCATGTTTTCTGCACGCCATACTATGTACATAACACCTTTAATATCAAGTGCACAGTTACTGTAGATTTAAAACATAATACATCTTGTAATGGTGACATGTGTGTATGTACAGGACAAGCAATGAACCGTCGTATTGGCTACAAAACTGTCATTGGTATCGTGACGGAAAATGGTCGTCTTAGGCCTGAAAATGGCGGTATCTTATTCCTATATTGAGAATGATGTCTTGATAATGCTATCAATACACATGTATCTAAGTGGCATAAACATTAAAATGCACTTATGTTGTCAGCCCTAGCAAAACCATAAGAAGGTTTTCAGCCTTTATACTTGTTTGAATCCTTAGTTAAATTCACAGACCCTTAGCAACATAACGATTTTATAATGTATAACAAAAACTAAACGTTTGCCATTAAAAGGACTATCTAAAAAAAACAACAACGCCAAAATGGAAATACCGATACAAACTGGATTGGCTGAAACAGGCTAAAGTGCAGGCAAGGATAAATCTAAAACAAAATTTGCAAGATTCTAATGCAAATGTTATCATTGAAGAAACTAAACTGATCATACGCAATAAAAAGAAAGTTTTAAAAATTACTGCTGATATAAATCTCTCAGTAAAATATATGGTTTTGCCAAACATTATTTATAATGATTAATTAATAACATTTCAAAGACCAATAACACTTATCAAACATATGTAGGGAAGAGGTGTTTTATATAAAGAAATGCAAAATCACAAGAAATAAAAAAACAATAAAATGGACAGAAATGTGGATTTTGAAAGAAAATCCTTTTTATACTTTGAGAACATAGTGTGATATATTACTGAATTTCTCCTGTTTGATTGAGGGAGACATTCGCCCCAGGACAACGTAACACACATTGTTCGACAAAAGGGATCGTGAAACGACGAGAGTGAACAAATAATCATGTTTCCCAAAATAAATAAATAGTGTATTAAGCTAAAAGAAAAAACCGTTCATGCAACGTTACAGGCGATGTTAAAGGAAGCAAGAGTTGTGTTATTATGGATTACATTACCAAACAATGTGAATAAGGCACAACAGATATATAATATTCGGATTTAAAACCTGATTGTTTTGTTGTTTTCATATATTTATACATGTCCATTGTAAATAGTGAAGCTTTTATTGTCATTATAACGTGCACTTGATCAGGTAGACACATTAATATGAACACCTTTACTGTAGATGTCAACATTTTATGTTAAAAATCGTCCAAGTAGAATGACACCCTCTTTTTAGTTAGTCACATTTAAAGGAAACGTAGAGAACATTTATCTAAAGCAGTGGGTTGTTTTAATTTAAGTTATCAGAATTACAAGAAATACGTTCAGAAATAATCAGTCTAAATATTGTATATTGTATACGGTAAACATCTGTGAGGAGTCAGATAATATTGTTTTTTAAATATTTCTCTCTCTAGTAAACCCAAAGAACATGTTTCTTGATTTTTTCGGATACTTTTCCATACTACGACTGCTAACCTAGACCAGTCTTCCCTCCCCTTTGTATCATTGTTGGCGTCTCGCGAATTTTTCGTTTTTGCGCATGGAGAATAGTTTTGAGTTCAATGTTTCCTTATATGTATTCCTATACTCCTGACCCTATTAGGCAAGTGTGATTAAAATGATGTTGGAATTGTAAAAAAAATCGGTAACAAGATTCGTTCAAATCCTAAAAGATTGACAAAATATGTATTTGCGATATATCGTAATCCATTTGATATTTAAAGATGTAATTATACCTCGCATCTCATTATTAAAACATTAAAGCTCTGACTTTTAACGCATTGTCAAAGGTTTCTATTTCGCGCCGTATAATCAAACACACTTTGCACAGAAATGGGACATTGAAGACGGTACAATCGAACCCCAATAATCCAAACTGTTTAATTTCACAAATGTTTAGACACACGAAACATAACATGGTTAGGAATTAATTTCTTAATTAATACGGTTAACTTAATATTAAGGAAAACTTACTGTATAAATGGAATCCATAGTGAAGTAAACACAGGATCGTTAAGTCTTATTTGTATACATGGTGGCCAAGTTTTTAAGGCGTCTGACATTCTGCTACCACTAGCCCTCCACCACTGGGTCAAAGGTTCAAGACCTACGTGAGGCAGTCACAAGGAACTGGCCGTTTGTCGATGTTTTTTCTCCGGGAACTCTGGCTTTCCCCCACCAACAAAACCTGGCACGTTCTTAAATGACAATAGCTGACAATAGAACGTAAACCAAACCAAACCAAACTATACGTTAGACAAAAAACAGTGCTCTAGGTATTTGGCGCTTATACAAATTTTCCAGAATGGCAATAGCTCCGGTATATAATATTTGACAAACTGTTTTCAAAAAGCAACTTCCGGATCATGAACGCGCAGTTTCAAATTAACTTTGAAGGAAATAAGAATATATGTCAGTGCTGTTTTCTGGATCAACAAACGAGATGCTTATCGAGGTTCGACTGTAATACATAACACTTACCTATATTTTAGCTCAGGGATTAATTTATGGTAAATCAAGTCTGCTTCTATTAAAACGACAAACCAATTTAATGTATGCAACATCTTGACAAAAATACATTTCATAAAAAGGACATCTATCTTTTCATGTTAGAAACAGCTGCTTAAACAGTGACGTCATCATACACCATTCACAAAAACTAGCGTTTTGATATATTAATATTATTTTGAAAATATTCATCAGTAAATGTTATATATGACGTTTTTAATTGTTCTGGTTAATAACTGGCAACGGTAAGGTAATATAAGTTTCAGTAAAGCAATAAGTACTATTGTTTTGTAACATTTTTTTTATTTTTTTTCCGAGATGGAAATTTTTTGCTGCTAAACAAAAGATGTCCACAGCAGTCACTTAATTATTTGAAGAACCTTGAAATTCATAAATATATTGCTTATCATATGCATTTTCAAGTGTGTTAGAAACGAGTTTTGCTCTTTTGTGTGTATGAAAGAGAAATCCAGGTAGCTGTTTTATTGATAAAGTTGGTCGAAAAGTTTGGAATGTCTGTTGAATATTACTTATTAATTGGATCTTGTATATAAAAAAGACGACTATAGTCTTTCCTTGCGGTTTCTTTAATATCATATCAGTATTAGGCATGTTGATGTATCTCACATTTAGGTATATAATGTATGTATCAATATGCAAAATACCTGATTTGCATAACAATTAACTTTCGTTATCAAATTAATGAAAAGACTCTCTCAAAACTACGTTCAGTAAGGTTAAAAGGTTATGCAATTTTTCGAATGTGATTCAGTATTCAATTCCAATTCAATGTGCTCTAATTTTGTGTTTTTCTTTCTTTTCAAAACAAACAAAAAGCAATAAAAATATATTTTTCTCAAACTAAGATTAGAGAGTATGTGAGGTGTCGTTATTCCTTTAACTAATACTTAATTTTGTACACATTTATAGATATATGAAAATGGATATCGAGGATCATTATGAAGGTATCAATATTGAAATAGAAAAATATTCGTTTATTCTGTCCTACAAGGTGTTTACATGTGTATTCATCCTTTTTATAGCTTTCATTATATTCTATTTAATTGCTGTCAATTGAATTTATGATATAAGTCTATAATATGACTTTAATTCCGACTACATTGTATTCATTAAGTGTTACAGAATCTATGATTCAAGTATACACATATGTTTTTTACATGATGTAAGTTTTCCCATGACAATGATTGCAATGTCTGTTTGAATGTTTTTTTCTTAAATATCAGTGCCCATTCCATAACATTGTAAATTATTGAATCATTTGTAAATTAATTCATTTTCTAAACTAGTGTTATGATCGTTTATAATCCAAATTGTTTTATTATCGCCAAATGAACAGATGACATGGAAAGGAAATTCGCCGAATTCATCAAAGATGTCATGTTCCAGAATTTAATTAATTTAATAGATAGGTAAAACATCATTCATTAAATGAATTAAACTGTGTGTTAGTGTATGAATTTGTTTTCAGTCGAGGTCTAAAAATGTTATTGAATGGCATTATCATGATGAATTTCTTGTTTTCCATCCCGTATTATGAAATGTATTATGTAATATGTAATGTTTAAAAAGTCAATCTGTTCTACCGGAAGTTGATCCAGACATGAGTAGAATATTAGGCTGTTAGCGCATGCTCACCATTGTGAGCACCCCTACAGTAAAGGGGGATATTTTGTGTCAGAGTGTATGTGTGATATGGTCTGGAGTGTTTAACTGTGGTGTGCTATGGATTGTAAATATTATGCCTACAAACGTTGTGTTTATTGTAATGTTGGGACTTGATAATAGACATAAACCACTTTTTGATACAGTTTGTGATATATATATCCACAATGTATAATGTTCGTTATAAGATATCCTGGACTAATAGATAGTTTCCTGCTAGGTTTTGCCAAATTATTATTGGAAGAATAAAATGGAATGTGACTGTTTTATACTTCCAGCCAAGTGATACACTTTCCATAAACAGCTATTGAAATGATAAGTGCTCAAATATTTCTAAAGATTCTGCCCTTCAGTTTATTCACGCAATCTTTCTGACACCGATTCCCTTTGAACATACTTCGGTATCTTATTTGTTATTACGTGTATATTAAATGTAACTGAAAAGGCGCAGGTAAAAAAAATCATTTATTATATTGCAGACATGTTCTATTTCCATAAATTCGATAGCCTTGGTGCAGCAATGTACCACGAGTAGTAAGTTGAAGTGTGTCAATATCCAGTGTTATATATAAATAGGATGACAATGATTCTTTTAAACATCTCCTTCATCGGTAAGCCTTTGTAACGTGAAATGAATGGGTAACCACAGTCAAATTGTATAAACAGTGTTTGCATAATAAGCTTACAGTTGGAGTTTAAGTCTGTGTTAGATACACGACATTTCATCAGCTATGTATAGTATCTTACATGAGTATTAACTATATGTATCAAATGGACAAAGCATTAATGTTAGTAACATTGATACTCAAACAATGTTTATGTGTATAATGATATATGGAAACATAAACAATGTTTATATTACTACACGAAAACATGAACAATGTTTATGTGTATAATGATATATGGAAACATGAACAATGTTTATATGTATAATGATATATGGAAACATGAACAATGTTTATATTAAACGAACACATGAACAATGTTTATTTGTATAATGATATATGGAAACATGAACAATGTTTATGTTACTACACGAAAACATGAACAATGTTTATGTGTATAATGATATATGGAAACATGAACAATGTTTATATTACACGAACACATACAGAAATGCTTATATAAAACTAATATTTGAACAATGCATATGTAACACAAATATATAAA